ATTTCTGTTTAAACTCACGGTTACATTTCCAGATGAACCCCAAGACTTAAGGATCACATGCATTTTTTCGACTCCTCACCTTTTCGCTCTAACTTGGGGAAAAGGAAGCGCATAACGAGGTTTCTTGGGCATCACTTGCTCTGTTAAAGCAGCATGATGAGTTAAGCAGACGTGAATCAGAAAACATATGGACCCAATTTTGGTTTAAAAATTAATAGGAAAACACATTCTCATCAAACTCAAAACAATGAAAAATATTTTTTAAGCAGCCAAAAAACCCAAAATACAGCTGGGTTTGCCCGCTGCACACAGATTCTTAACACCCCTGGTCTCCTTCCTTGGTTTTCAAAAATAGCAAATTGTGCTGAAGGTTGTGTGGAACCAATTAGGACAGCACAAGTGAGGTGTGGGCTTCCGGCAGGATGCACCACCCAGTGCAGGGGCCTTACAAGGCATTGCTGGTGGTTGATGCTTTATCTCTAGACCTTCTGGTGGTGCGGACAGACACGGCAAGTCCACGGGATAGAAGGGATATCCACACAGTGCCAGAGTGAAGAAGCCACTGATGTGTCTGTGACAGGTAAGCTAGATTCACCTACTGACCAAGAAGCTCACAAGAGGGAAAAGGTAAACCAAACCCAAGCGAGGTTCATCTTCTGTCAACCATTAGATGTGACCTTGCCTTAGGGGAAGGACAGTTTATTCATCAGACACCATTCCCAGCCTATCCTCCTTTTGGTAACGTTCTCTTCTCTCTTTCCCACAGTCTTCCAGTCATGGATTCTCAACATCCCAGTTGCTTTCAGCTGCCCCCTGGGACGGCTCTTCTGAACCAAAGTTGTTCCCTGGTGCCCCAGCATGTCCTGCCAGAGCGTCTAGGATGAAGGAGTCTGTTGGCAGAAGTGACAGGTGATGGGAGGGAAAATCAGAAATGTCACCCTCCGTGGGTGCCTCTAAATGGCTCCAGCGCTTTCTAGATTTCCCTGGTGGATGATTCCTGGAGTCCATCCTCCTCAAAGCCCTGAGCCACCTTCTCATCTTGCCCTTCCTTCTCAGGAGACGATCTTGCTTTTTACTTTAAGGACAAAACAAAAGCCACCCGTTGAACCCATTGTCACCATACCTACCACGCTTCCCACATCTAAATCCACGTTTTGTCTCTCCTCCCATGCACCTCCCCCTGATGCAAAGCAAATCCCTCTAGCTTTGCACTGGGTTCCACTCTTGTTTCATCCTCTGAGACCCTGATAACTTTCACCCTTTGCCTGTAGACTGCTCATTTCCATGTAAGGCATTTTCAGCATGGTGCTTAAACGCACTGTCTGGAAGCCAGACTGTCTGCCATTGTATGGAAGGCTTGGGGGAAAACCCAGCTTCCCTGTGCCTGGTGTCCCCATCTGGGAAATGGAGATAATAATAACTCCCATCTAATGGGCTTGTTTTGAAGATGAAAAGGTTAATACATATAAAACACTTATACAAGTGGCTAGCACATCATAAGCATAAAATAAATGTAGGTTATCTTATTATCCCTGCTTCCTTCCTGCCAACATTTAAATGTGACCATCTCTCGTATTTAAGAAGGAATTCTTTCTCAACTCACTACAGCCAACTGCTGTCCTCTCTAAAAATTCACCCTTGCTATTGACTCTCTTGGGTGAGACAACTGTGTGCACCTGTTGCTTTTCCCTCCTAATTTCTCCCTCCTTAGTCTAGGGTGGTCTAGCTCCACTCCATCCATTGTTGAAACTTCTTGCATCATGCACTTCCTGCCACTACATCCAAGGAACACATTTCACTCCTCTTAACCTTTATATACCCTTGGCTCTGGTGACCTTTTTGCTCTCTTCCAGTACTACTCTGTGGGCTCTCACACCCTACCATGGGCAGTTCCTCCCTCCGTGGCTCCTCTTGCTGTGCAGATTGATGATGTAAATGCAGATGTTTTTAAGAGTTTGACCTCCCCTATTCCCTGGTTGCTGGCCTGTGATAGCTCTTTCCAGCCAGCCTTCTCTCCTGAACCCCATTGGAAGTGGACCCTCAGATGTCTCATGGGCTCCCATACGAGGCCCTGCCCTTTATCCCCAAGCTGTTCCTCTGGGAGTTTCTATGTCCATTGAGTGTATCAACTGCACCCCATAGTCCAAACCAATGGCATAGGGGTCATTCTTCGACTTTTCCTCTACTTTACGTTGATTTTATTTCCTAAATACCTATCAGACCCCTCATCATCTCTGCAGCTCCACAGCCGTTACACCAACCTGGACTACTACTATCCCTCCCTAGGTCACTAGGATCACCCTTCATGTGTTCTCTGGCCTCCCACCAGTCTCCCCTCTGATGCATGCCCTGCACTGCCCCTGGAAGATCTCCATCAAAAGTTTGTTAAAGGTTTCCCATTGCCCTGAGGATAAGCACCAAATTCCTTGACCTGCTTTTCAAAGATCTTGAAACCACTTTTGTAAGAATTATGACAGGGAGAAAAGTTTAACCTAACTGACTCCATCTTGCTTCTGACCTTTGCTCATTCCTGGGCATAGGCCAAGCAAACTGTGGGAGGAAGTTAGCTTATAATTTCACTTTGAAACAAGGATAATCAGAGTCCCTCCCTAAATTGACCCCCTCTGGGGACTGAAACTGCCTTTGTAAGACTAATGAAAGGCCACAAGGTTAGGATTATGGGGGTGAGTGCCTGAATTCCGCTAAACTATAGGCCCAGTTAAACAATAACCAACCACTGTTGCAAAAGTCACAAGATTTGGAACTTCCCCAGTCACTCCTGTGGATAATATCACTATTGTCAAAACATAAGATTGGTCTCTGAGATATTTTTCAGACTCCTGGGTTCTGATGACTGACTGATTCCACCTGGACCCATGACTCACAGCAAGGAGCTTATTCCTACCCAGAAACTCCCACCTTGAAAGTTATTCAGTGCGTTGAAGGCTGTTTGAACACCACTGTGATTCCATCCCCAGCCAATCAGCAGCACCCGTTCCCGAGCCCCCTGGCCAACATAATTATCCTTAAAAAGTCGAGCCTCCAAGCTCTCAAGGAGGCAGTTTTGAGAAATACCTCCTGTCCTGTTCAGCTGGCCCTGCCATTAATAAGCTATTTTCCTACTGTAACACCACAGCCTCAGTGGATTGATTTTATTTGCACAGTGGGCAAGAAAAAACTTCTTGGGCAATTACAGTCTTGACTTACTGGCATCCGGTATCATTGCCAATGGAAGTTCTCCATTTCGGCTTTTATATTCTGTTTCAGCCACACGGGATTTAGTGAACTTTTGTCATGTATTGGTTGCCTAGCATCTGAATACTTTATTTTGATTTGGGGAAACTCTCCTGTGTGAATTTACACCCAAAAGGCTGTAGATATGCCCTCTCCCCCTCACTGGCACCTAGCATGTGATCATGTGACTCAGACATGGCCAGTTAGGTGGACAATGATGGCAGCGCCCTGCCAGTATCATAATGAACCTTGACTGGGTTCTTGGCAGCCCAACTTCCTTTGGGTACTGCTTGATTCCTCAGTCATCCTGTCCTTTTGTAAGCTACTTAATATTCTTCTTCTTCTTTTTTTTTTTTTTTTTGAGACGGAGTCTCACTCTGTCGCCCAGGCTGGAGTGCAGTGGCCGGATCTCGGCTCACTGCAAGCTCCGCCTCCCGGGTTCACACCATTCTCCTGCCTCAGCCTCCCAAGTAGCTGGGACTACAGGCACCCGCCACCTCGCCCGGCTAGTTTTTTGTATTTTTTTAGTAGAGACGGGGTTTCACCACGTTAGCCAGGATGGTCTCGATCTCCTGAACTCGTGATCCGCCCATCACGGCCTCCTAAAGTGCTGGGATTACAGGCTTGAGCCACCGCGCCCGGCCCCTGCTACTTAATATTCTTCTAACAAATTCCTCTTCCTCTGAAGTTAACCAGAGTCAGGGTCTAGTACTTGTAATCAAGAACTCTGACACTGACATAAAATTTTTTGCAGGCCCTCTGACATACAAATTATGTGTGATGCTATCTGTATATACTTCACTTAGTTTACTCCTACTCATTCTTCAAACCTGGATTTAAGACTTCTTCATCTGAAACCTCACCCATCCCTGCCTCATTTAGACCAGATTCGGTGTCCCTGTGATTGCTTTCTGTAGCACTGTTTTTCTCTCTGTCATAGCACTCATTATCCTAAAATGTAATTGCTTATTAAATTGTCTCCACTACTAGAAGCAAGGTGCCCAAGGATGCCACTTGTTTTGCCTATTCTTATATTCTCCAAACCCAGCATAGCGTCTGTCACATAGTAGCTCTCACTAAATATTTGCTAAATGACTGAATGCATTGCAACCTCCTCCCAGTGCCCAAAGTTGTGACTGGACCCTCCTTTAAATTCAAATATCTTTAGAGATCTTCAGCTCCCAAAATCCTACTGTGAATTACTTTCCAATTCATCTCCAAGCCCCACCTCTTAGCTTTCTTCACTCACTCTCTTAGAAGTCCACTGCCACGGCCACACTTACAGACCTGGATTCTGTCCTGGGAGGAGCAGATCTGTGATGTGCCATTTTGTGGTAGTTATGCATGAGATGCTACAGAGGCACTTGACCAAGAAACAAGCTAGAGGGAAACATTCTGCCAGAGTCTTTGGAAGGAGAAGTGCTGTGTAGGGATGGTAGGAGTGAAAAAACAGAAAAGGAACAAGGATGAGAAGGTGTCAGTCTCTCCCACTAGAATGCCAGTTCCATGTGAACTGAGTCCCTTTTTATCATTGCTGTATCCCCAGGTCTAGAGCAGAGCTTAGCACATGGTAGGTACTCAATATGTATTTGTTGATTGATTGATTGATTGATTAACTGATTGAATGCATATTACCTACAGTGAAGCAACATAAAATACACATGCAAATATCTCGATATTTCCAGCATGAGGGATTCAGGAAACATTCCAGAGAGCAAAATATGCATACAGCTACGCTCATTATCACTGATTGAAGATGGACAAAGTGTAATGGTTATGCCTTTATTTAGATAACACCAGAAATACTTAGTATGAAGACTTTCACAATGTCATTTAAACACATGGTCTTCTAACTCCCCTTTCCTCACATTATCTTAATTCCTTGCCCTTGCATTTTCCCAATTTGGAGTTTCTGTTTCGGAAGTGGGTGCCCCTGGGGAGGCATGCAATCCTGTCCTCCTCCACCTTCGTCCCTGGCCCCTCTCCACATAACAGTGTCTGATATTCCTTCCAGCCTATTGTTTATACATTGCCTTCCCAGCTTCTCTACCCCACTCCTACTAGAAGCCCTCCTTCAAGTCTGACCTGCTCTGAGAAGCCTCTCTTTATCACCTCGGTCCTCATCTCCTGCCCTTCTCTGAACACTTACAGGACCTCGTTCTTTATTGACTACTTCTGCTCTGTGATTGTGTCATTTATGAGTTAAATCTGTCAGAGACAAAACTAAGTCTGAGACAAAACTCACAGCCTGTTTATTCATAAATACGTAGTAAGGAAACCCATCGGCTGTTGCTTTTGTGGACAAGTGTTCAGGGGTGTTAAAGGAGAGTTCATTACACAGCATAAAGAGAGGAAATACAGAGTCAATCTCTGATTGGCAAACATTATGTTTAGGTGGAATTTTGGAAGCCAGGGAGACTTTCTAATTGGTCTTCAGGTTCATTCGGCCATCCTTGGTTGGCGGTAATTTGTGGAGATTTCAAGAAAAGAAGGGTTGTTCAATGTTGGGGTGGGGGTTTTCTGTGGCTGGTCATTTCCTGGAACTGGTGGGTGGGGTACTTGCCGCCACGGCCAGCAGTCTCTCAAGTCTGATACTGTAGCTCACGGGCTGCCATGAGGGAGAAATCACGTCTCACACGTTCCTTGTATGTGCTTCCCGTCTTGGCGTACAGCCAACGTTCAGTCCTATTTCCAGATTTAACATGAGGACTTGTTGAATCGGCTTTGGGGGAGGAAAGGTAACTGCGTAGAGACATGCACACCCACTGTGTGTGCCTGTGTGTATACTCCATCTAGAAAACGAATGATTGATGGAAAGAGACATGAATTGATATATACTATACATACTGCTCTCAGCATGTTCATCAAATAAATCCATCATGTCTGAGTCAAAACCCACAATCTAATTCATAAACATGAACTCATTAGCCGTCACTACTGTGGAGGAGGGTTCAAGAATATTACAGAGTAAAAAGAGGAAGTCATGACTATATGTCCCCAGTGTCTGGCTGGTTTTGAGGTGATTGGGAAAGCTACAATCAGGCTGATGATGTCCTACAGAGGACCATGCTGCAAGCACCATCCCACGAGATGCAACTGAGCTGCACTGGCTGAGCTTCTAAATGAGCCAGTGAGTATCTGTCAAGACTGGGGTGCTCTGGGAGAGGCAGGAGTCACCTGAAAGTTTGGAATAAGCAGAAACAATGCATAGGAAGGGAATATTGCTGCAGTGCTGCCTATGCGGATGCAAATGGAAATTTCACAATGGCGTCGTAGAGCCCAATGTGCTATCACTCCATTGGAAACACGAATGTGAAACAGAAGTCAGGCGGTAGAACCCACAGAGAATAAAAAACTTTTGGGAAAATAGATGTTCAAGAAACATTTATTGATGAATAAAAATTCTTACCAATGAGCACCAGGTCACTGCCTCCCAGGACCGCTGATGCCATTTTGAATTTTGGCCACACTGTGGATGTGGGGACTGATGGCAGCACAGTGGTGACCAGTGAGGAATGGCATCTGGTCACGCCAATGGCCCAGCCTGGTGAGATACTCGGGAGCTGGGGTGCTGGGAGACAAGGCAACACCTAACATAGCCACACTATTCTGCACTTTAGTGACCAAGCACTTGGGGGTGGAGAAGAGCACCCTTGAGGGTAGATGGCATTGAATGTGGCTGCTCTGCAAATGAACCCATGTGCAGCACAAAATCTCTCCAATGGCTGGCTGTGACGTTGCATCTCCCTGTGGCATTTTTTTCCTCCTCAAAATTAAATGACAGAATCACTGTGCACTTGGAGTTTCCATGGTATAAATGCAATGGTCAGACTTTTGATAAATAGACTTTGAAATGCTCTACATATGCCTACCACAAGCTTTTATCTATTTGGCTAATTGTATTCTTTGTAAGCCACAGAAGACAGGGGAAAATGGCCCTGTGATTAGATCTAGCTCAGAGACTGGGAAAGAGAAGAGGAATTTGAGCCGTCCCGCAAAGCCTGAGTAAAACGTCCTTTGTAAGAAAGGTGGAATCAGAGCATCAGAGAATCTTGGGGCTGGGAAGGACCTTCGGAGTCCCCAAGCCCCATGACTCCCAAAGCTAACCCCCTAGCCTGGGTGTGTGCATTTTTCAAAGAACTCTCTGGGTTGGCTTTGGGTGGGTGGCTGTATAACGAAACAGCCTTGGCGTTATGACACTGGGTTCAAAACTATGTGGTTCTAGGTTCTACTACTGCTCTGTGCTTCTGTTTGCTTTTCTTACAAAAGGAGGGAATGTAGTATCTATCTCATGGGGTTCTTGTAAATAGTACACATGATCACCCCTGTAGGGTTTTTAGAAGAGGATTTAGCATAATATGTTAACCATGATGGAGATCAAGATGAGGAAGAAGGGCTAAGTTGGCAAACCACTGATTCAACCTAGCTGCTATCACAGCCCAGAAGTGGTGTTTTGGTGTCCTGAAGGTGTCATGCTCTGCATTCCTGCTGTGGACAGCCTGGCTGTTAGAGTGTGTCCTGATCTGATCCTATCTATAGCTCTGCCTCTGGAGATGGTTGCCAGCCAGCCTGGGTCCTTGCTGTCATGAGAGCTGTTGCAGAAGGCCTGGGCTATGCTGGGTTTGACTCAGGATCCTGCAGGCTCACTATTTCCCTAAGAGCAGGAGCTCAGACAGGAGGTCCCCGTGGAGGGCAGGTTCTTACAGGTAAAACCTCAGAGCAGAACATTTGCAGGGTCCTCTGCTGTTAACATGCAGGCGTTCCTCCCTATCCTGGTGTCTTAGGTCAGGTTTCCCTACCACCTCCAGAACCCTCAACTCAGCATGTTCCATGAACTAATGGGAATGAACCCTGTATTAGTCCATTTTCACACTGCTGATAAAGACATACCCGAGACTGGGTAATTTATAAAGAAAAAGAGCTTTAATGGACTCACAGTTACACGTGACTGGGGAGGCCTCACCATCATGGCAGAAGGCAAAAGGCACGTCTTACATGGCAGCAGACAAAGAGAGAATGAAAACCAAGTGAAAGGGGAAACCCCTTATAAAATCATCAGATCTCTTGAGACTTATTCACCACCATAAGAACAGCATGGGGGAAACCACCCCCATGATATAATTATCTCCCACTGGGTCCTTTCCACAACACATGGGAATTGAGGGAGCTACAATTCAAGATGAGATTTGGGTGGGGACACAGCCAAACTATATCAAACCCCTACTGTGGGATGGTAGCAAATGCCTATCAGGCTGTGTGGTTCTTGTCCCACGGTGTACACATTTTCTGGGGAATCACATGACATGAAAACAAATGTGATTTCATAACATGCACCTTTCCAGCATTTGACCAAATATTAAATTTATTGGGCTAATTTAACCGACAGTTATGGCATACTTCCTGAATCCCAGACACAGAGCCAGGCACCAAGCAGGGAGAAGGTGGTGATATGGCCAACAGAACAGAAAAGCAGAAGCCCTATAGTGGTGGTGTCACAGAAACAGTGGAAGGTGAAGTTTCTGCGTGGGTCAGGCATACATTGGTGAGGCACATTCAAGGCCAGCCTCATGGATATGTCGCCTGTGTAGTCCTGCAGGTCTGTCACTAGGATCACCCCACCTGGCTTATTGTCCTATTGTTGCCATCTTGAAATTCTGTTTTTTTTTTTTTTTGAGACGGAGTCTTGCTCTGTCACCCAGGCTGAAGTACAGTGACACGATCTTGACTCACTGCAACCTCTACTTCCTGATGTTCAAGTGATTCTTCTCCCTCAGCCTCCCAAGTAGCTGGGACTACAGGTGCCCACCACCATGCCCGCCTAATTTTTGTATTTTTACTAGAAACCTGGTTTCACCATGTCACCCAGGCTGGTCTTGAACTCCCAACCTCAGGTGCTCCACCTGCCTCGGCCTCCCAGAGTGCTGGGATTACAGGCGTGAGTCACCACGCCTGTCTGAAATTCTGAATCATCTTTGAACAAAGATTTCTGCAGTTTCATTTTGTAGTGGTCCTGCAAATTTGTAGGTGTTCTGGATTTAATTGTAAATGTCCATGACCTGCTGACAGCCCCTGTATACTGTACCTCTTCTTCCTCCCAACTGCCCAAAACATTGGGTTGTCTCTGAGTTAAGGACACCAGACTAACCCACAACCTCTACTCCCAGACCTTGATTGTCAATGGCTATGACATTTTTCTGTACTTGCCCTGAAGTTGCACAGGAAAAGCCCCACGTCCCACTGTGTGCACACACCCCTCAAAGATGCTGTAGTTCATACCTTGTCTAGGAGAGTCAGCTTCTTCTGTGTCCTCAGCTACCCTGAGAGGCTTAAGAAGCTTTGTTCTGTTCTTTTGGAGAAAAAAATCAGGATGAGTGAGCTGCCTACCTCGGGCCACAGCTCCCCAAAGTCTGGTTCAGGCTGGCTGCGGAGGTGCAGCATCGAGGAACCCGTTGATGATTTCGATCACTGCTCATCACAAATGTTAAAAACCAGACTTCTCTTCGCTCTTAGGCAGTCGACAAAGCAATCATGCACATTTTACGGAGGAGGACACTGAGGCTCTGAACACAAGTGCTTGTTTGCACTTCCTAGTGCTTTGCTTGGCTGGAGTTCGAGACAAAGGAACGGGAAATCCCACTCACAGACTGTCACGGTTGTCATTTCAATGCCATTCTCAGGTAGAGAACTGAGCTAGTACATCCACCTTTGGAAGAAATTGCCCCCTGATTTTAAGGAGAAGTCTGCATGTTGCAGGGGCTGGTGGAGGGGAGCAGTGCTGGGAAAGACTGGAAAGCCTCTGCTTCTTGCCAGGAATTTCCATTGGAACATGCCTCGTGCAGACTCTGGAAAGACAAACTGGTTCTTAAAATATCTTCAGGTCTGGATGGCTGGGCTCGCCAACCCTTCCCTCCACGTGGCAGCTCCTTCTTAACTAGCATGCACCCTGCAGTTCTTAGATCATTAACAGAGAAAACCAGCCACCACTGGGGGCTGTAGGAGGTGGATAAAGAGTATTCTATCGTCATAAAGCTTTACAGGGATTCTGGAAATGACAGCCCAGGTTAACTACCTCATTGTATAGGTAAACAGGCTGCAGCCTAGAGAGGAGGAAGGGGCTTTTACTCCCAAAGATCTCTTCAAAACTCCCTTACTCCCAGATTGCTCATGCTCTGATGGCTGTGAGGGATTGAAGCCTGGTTTCCAACCAAGTGCGCTGTGGTTTGGACTAGGGGCATGCACTTACCCCAGTGAGACTACCACAGGCTTTCTCCTTACACTGTAAACTCTGGACTCAACTCTGACTGGTGGCGCCCCTGGAGCTTTGAGATCGCATAGAGTGTGGTGCAACCCTCTTCCATCCCACGGATGTTAAAGGAGGTAAAACCCACTAATGAAGGGAATGGATGGAAGCCAAAAGGAAAATAACCCACTCAGTTGCAGAGAGGCAGTGAGTGAGAGTCCTCGTGGTTCCTTCTGCTTCTAAGGACCTCATTCCACCTAATGATTTCGCTTGTGGGTCATCCTCAGGCTGCTGTGGGCACAGGTTGCACAGCACAACCTGGGGACCCTTTGGGTTCTGGCATCTCATCTGGCAGCCCCTTCAATTCTGTTTTGTATTGCTCTGATGCAGGTGCAGAATGTACATACTTTCTTCAATTTCCACAGTTACTCACTTAGAACATTCTGTGCACTGACTTCCCTAAAGTGGCTTTGGAGAGTTAATATGAATGTCCTCATGTCAACACAACGGGCAAAGCATTCACTTTCAATACCCTTGTCCCCAAAAGAGATGTGGCCACTTCCCTAAGTACACCAGCCTCACCATCTCCTTGCCCAGGTGTGGCTCTCCTGCCACTTCCAAGGGTCTGATGATGGAAAGTGTGGCAGTCGAGGTACCTTCCATGGCTGTCCTCTCTCTTAACTCCTCTGCTCCTTGGTCTTACCCTTCACACTGAGTTTTATGGAAAAGCTTTGAATCCAATGGCAGTGGTCTTTGGAGGGGGATTTATTAAGCAGGGGAGGCTGAAGTTGTTCTGACCTGAAGCTCAGGCATTCTGCCATAGCAGACTGGACACCTGGCCATATCAAGTAGGTTGGTATTTTACCCATTTAAATGTACAGTTTTGTGAGTTTTGGTACGTGTATACAGTCATGCAATTGCCACAGCAATGAAGACATTTAAAACTTCCATCATTCCAAAAATTCCCTTGGGTAGTTCTGCAGTCAATACTACCCTCACCCCAGCCCTGGAGAACCACCTATCTATTTTCTGTTGCTATAGAATTGTAAATAAATGAAATCTGAGAGCATGTAATGTTTTTCATGGGATTTCTTTCACTTAGCATAATGCTTTTGCAGGTTCATTCATGTTGTAACATGTATCGGTGCTTTTTCCTTTTTTATTTATAGCTATATATTATTCCATAAGATAGTTATACCACAATTTATTTATCCACTCACACAATAATGGACAGCTAGGTTGTTTCCAGGGTCTGGCTATTATAAAGAAAGCTAGAAAAGACATTTGTGTACAGGTCTTTGCACAAGCATATGTTTTCATTTCTCTCGGGTAAATAAATATCTAGGAGTAGGATTGCTGATCACAAGGTACATGCATTTTCAATCTTACAAGAAATTGTCAAATTGTCTTCCAAGTGGCTGTGCCATTTTACATTCTTATCCTCAACATGTGAGAGTGACAGTTTTCCCACATCTTCATCAACACTTAATATTGTCAGTCTTTGTAATGTTAGCTGTTTTGGTGAGTGTACAGTGGTATCTCCTTATGTTTCATTTAGTGAGAATTATATATAGTTCATTGCACTTGGTGGTTTACAATATACTACAAAGATACATATAACAGGTTCTGCCAATTGTCTAAGTTTCTTCTTACAAAAACTAATAATTATTTTTTATTTTGACATGAAATAATTGTACATATTTATGGGGTACAATGTGATGCTTCAATTCATGTATACCTTGTGCAATGATCAAATCATGGAAATTAGCATATTTATCACTTCAAACATTCATCATTTATTTGTAGTGAGAACACTCAAAATCCTCTCTTCTAATTATTTTGAAATATTCTATACATTACGGTTAATTATGGTCACAGTGCTGTGCAATAAGACACCAGAACCTAATCTTTATATCTAATTATGACTTTTACCTATTGACTAATCTCCCCCCATTCTCTTTCCCCCATTCTCCTTAGACCCTGGTAACCACTGTCCTAGCCATTACTTCTATGAGGTCATCTTTTTAAATTCCACATATGGGTGAGATCATGTACTATCTGTCTTTTGGTGCCTGGTTTATTTCACTTAACATGATGTCTTCCAGGTTTACCCATGTTGTCCTAAATGACAGGATTTCATTTTTTTTTTATAGCTGAATGGTATTCCATTGTGCATATACACCACATTTTCTTTAATCATTTGTCCACTGATAGATATATAGTTTTTTTCTTAATTAATTAATTGTTTTTTATTTCAATAGGTTTTTGGGGAAAATGTGGTGTTTGGTTACGTGAATAAGTTATTCAGTGGTGATTTCTGAGATTTTGGTGCACTCATCACCTAAGCATTGTACACCGTATCCGATGTGTGTTCTTTTATTCCTCATTTCCCTTCCACCCTTTCATTATATCACTCTTATGCCTTTGCATCCTCATAAGTGCTCCCACTTATGAGTGAGAATGTACAATGTTTGGCTTTCCATTTCCGAGTTACTTCACTTTGAATAATGGTCTTCAATTCCATGCAGATTGCTAGGAATGCCATTATTTTGTTCCTTTCTATGACTGAGTAGTATTCCATGGTGTATATATATACTACATTTTCTTTATCCATTAGTTGATTGATGGGCTTTTGGGCTGGTTCCATATTATTGCAATTGCGAATTGATTGATGGGCTCTTAGTTTGATTGCATATTTTGGCTACTGTGAATAGTGCTGCAATAAACATGGGAGTATAGGTATCTCCTCAACATACTGATTTTATTTCCTTTGGATATATACCCAGTAGTGGGATTTCTAGATCATATGGTAGTTCTATTTTTAATTTTTAAAGGAATCACCCATTGTGGTTTTGATTTGCGTTTCCCTAAAGGTTAGTTATGTTGAGCATTTTTTCATATACCTGTTGGCCATCTGTATGTCTTCTTTTGAGAAATGTGTATTAAGATCTTTGTCCATTTTAAATCAGATTATTTGGTTTTGTTTGTTTAACAAACAAAATTTTGGTTTGATCTAATCCTATTTGTTTATTTTTCCTTTTGTTGTCTGTGCTTTTGGAGACATATTCATTTATTTTGTCTTTTTCAAATTTTTTATTCACTTATTTTAAAATTTTATATTTATTTAAATTATTATTTTATTAAATTTTCATTTGTTATTTTATATTTATTTTTATCTTTCTTGATTCTATATAAATTTTAGGATTTTTTTTCTGTTTCTCTGAAAAATGTCATTAGAATTTTGATAGGAATTGCATTGAATTTATAGATCACTTTGGGAAGTATGGACATTTTAACAATACTAAATTTTCCAACTCATAAATATGAGATATCTTTCCATTTATTTGTATCTTTTTCAATTTTTTCTCATAAAGGTTTTATGGATTTCAGTGTACAGGTCTTTCATCTCAGTTTCAGGATACAAAATCAACATACAAAAATCAGTAACATTTCTAAATGCTAATAGTGAACTATTTGAAAAAAAGTCAAGAAAACAATATTATTTACAATAGCTACCCAAAAAGTAAGATATGTAGGAATAAATTTAACCAAAGAAGTGAAAGATCTCTACAATGAAAGCTACAAAGTATTTATTACAAAAATTAACGTTTATTAAAGAAAATTGAAGAATACACACAAAAAAGGAAAGCTATCATGTGTTTATAGATTGGAAGACTTAATATTGTTAAAATGTCCATACTATCAAAAAGTGATCTACAGATTCAGTGCAATCTCTATCAAAATATTAACATTATTCTTCACAGAAATAGAAAAGTCATCTTAAAATTTGTATGGAACCACAAAGACCCTGAATAGCCAAAGCAATCTTCAGTAAAAATCAACAAAGCTGGGGGCATCACAGTACCTGACTTCAAAATATACTATAAAGCTATCATAACCAAAACAGCAAGACATTGGCATAACAACAGACATATAGATGAGGGAAACAGAGTAAAGAGCTGAGGACAAAATCCGCATGGTTATGGTCAATTGATTTTCCACAAAGGTGCCAAAAACACTCAATGAGGGAAAGAACAATCTCTGCATTGTGATTTTAGCTTGCACTTCCTGAAGGGTTAACAATATTGAACCTCTTTACATATGCTTATTTGTCTTTCTTAAATTATTTTGGTTGAAGTATATGTTGAAATCTTGTCTATCTTTTAGAGGGTTTTTTTTTATTAATAGGTTGTGCAAATTCTTTATTCTTGCCTTTTGATTTTCTCAATGATCTTTTAATTAGAAAAAGCTTTAAATTTTGATGAAGCCTATTTTATTATATTTTCTTTTTTTATAGATTATGCCTTTTATGTGCTGTCTAAGAAATCTAGCTCAAGGTCACATGAATTTCTCCTATTTTTTTCTAGAAGCTTTATGGTTTTAACTCTTATATTTAGGTTTATGATTCATTTTGAATTGCTTTTGTGTATGGTATGAGGAAAGGGTGAAGGTGATTTTTTTCCCCAATAGCTATTTAGTTATTCCAGTATTATTTATTGAGAAGACTCTTATTTCCCCCATTGAGTTACCCTGGCACCTTTGCCCTGGTATCTAACCTTTACTTGAAAGTTGGTTGAAGCAATCACAAAAGACT